GTGAGGCTTGGGGGCTGCCCCGGCGCCCACCGGCCGCGGCCAGGACGCAGCATCCCCCGTCCCACCCCCACGTCCAGCCCGGGGCCCCCTCGAGCCCCAGCCTGGGTTTTAGTCTCGCTCAGCAGAAGCTCCCCGCAGCCTGGGCTCCGTGCTCCCCACCAGCTCCCCAGTTTCCTTTCCCAGCAGGAGAGCACCCATGGCTTTCCGCCCGCAGGCCTCAGAGCAGGCAGGGGCGAGGCGGCCGCTCCTGCTCTGCCCAGGGCAGCAGCAAGTTCAAGTGCCATTTCAAACGGCACCTCTGACGCGACACGGGCTGGGCTATTTCACTGTCAAATACCTACATGCCCCTGGCTCAGCTTTAATTAGTTTTAACTCCAACAAATACTGGCAATTTAAATATAAACAAGCGAAAATATTTCAGCCTAGTCTGTGTTTACTGGTCGAGGCATTCACTGTGCAAAAACTCCAGGTTCTGCTGCTCGGAGTGTTTGGTGTGCAGGACTGCTAGTAACTGGATGTCGCTCTACTCAAGGTCCTTCTGTTGTGTTTTGCCGTGAATTGGGGCTGCTATGAGGCACAAACACAACTTTGGAGGAGCACGGTCGTGCTCCGCCGTGGAAGCAGCAGCCACCCACCGGTAGCGTGAGCTTCCCCGCGCCGCTGCACCGGGCTGCTGGGGTTCATCTCCAGCAAACGGGGGCCCGGGGCTGCCACACAGCACCCCCACAGCACTCGGGGTCTTAAACAAAGGCCGGCACGTCCCCCAAGCCAGAGACACCACGCAGCACCCGGCACAAGCCGTGCTGCTCGTCCCTCCACGGGCTTCAGGTCCAGGGCAGGGGATGCTGCTCCACTTTCACTTTTCCCACAGTCTCACTGCTGCTCATTAGCAAGTGCATTATCATTGTGCACACCCCGGCGGGGAAAACGCACCCAACGGGAGCTGCAGCTCTTCAGCTCCCAGGAGCCGGGCTTAGGGCCAAGGAGGAAAGAACAACACAAGCACCATGAAACAAAACAAAACTACAGCGAGAGGTTCAAAACGTCGGGAAAGGGTTTACCTGTTCATCCCGGGAAGGTTGCCCCAGAAGTAGTGTGCTCGGTGGGCAGCGGATATCTTGATAGCGTCGATCATAACTGGGTTGCACTGCAGGGCACGAGAGGGGGAAAAATAAAAGTTAGAGGAGGTGTGGGCTCAGCGTCCTGCACGGACAGCCCGTCTCCGCTGCCCTGCAGGGACTGGACGCCTTCAGCAAATCCTCCCGAGGACGCAGCCCAGACAGACCCTTGTTCCACACCAGAGCACGGTCTGGTTGGCCACGTGGGCTCCCACACCATAGCCATGGCCAGCAGCTAATAGCACAGCATGCTTCAGCGCTGATTTTTCTGGGCCAGGATCAGGACCATCGGCCCCTGATGGGACTTTGGCCCACGGGAGTCCCTGCTGACCCACAGCCCGTCTTGGCTAACACAGAGTTAAAAATTCTTTCCAGTCCCTGACCTCCCTCTCCCTAGAAATAACAGGCATTGCTCAGAGCAGATGCTTTCTGCAAGGCTGGCAAAATCCTGCCCCAGAGAACCAGTGCTCAGGGTGAACCCGCTGCAAGCCAGAGGGGGTCCAGAGCCAAGACTAACAACTTGATTCCTGGCGTGAGGGGCCGTAGGAAACCCCGGCCAGACCCTCAGCACCTCGGCACCCCCTGCACGGCCCAGCAAGCGCCTCCCGCCCCGAGGCCCCCCCGACGCTGGCAGCAATCCCCACCTCCAGAAACCGAGAAATGTCCCTCTTGTCGTTGACCCTCATGGCCACCACGTTCTCAAACATCCAGAAGAAGGGACGCTCCTCTCCCGCCTTGGGACGGGCGTAGTTGAGCAGGTGGTAGAATTCAAAGAACATCCTCCCGGTTCCTTCTGCGAGGGAGAAAAAGCCGGAGCGGCAGGTTGGGACCAGCCCCGGCACACGGGGGGGACGGGTCGGGGGGGGCCTGGCTGCTCTCCCCACTGCGGCTGGCATGGGGACACCTGTGCTTTGCAGGTGCCACCCCACAATTTGCAGCTCTGAGGGGAGCAGATGGGGGCTGAACCACTTCCCTTAGGGTGGCTCTGCACCCCAGGAGCACCCCGGGGGCACGCGGCCCTGCAGAGGCAACGGCTTTACCATACAGACCCTTCCTGGCCGGATTGATGAGGGAGAGGTCGTTACAGGGGCTGCCACCGATCACCAGGTCAAAGGGACCCCACTCCTCGATCTAGAGCAAAGACAGACCCGGTTAGGAGATGCCAGGCGAGGGAGGGGGGGGTCTCCACAGCAGGGCAGGGGCCGAGCCCGTCCCAGGTGGGACCCACACGGCCACAGCGCCCCGCAGAAGCAGCACTCACGTTTCTCTTGGTTATGTTCCGGACGTCGTGCACGTAGGTGATGTTGCCCTCGTGCCGCATGGTGCCCACAGCGAGGGGGTCTTCGCAGATCTCGGAGGCGATGTACTTCTCCACTTGGATGCCCAAGTCCTTCAGCACCAGGTACCCTGCCAAGGGACAGAGGGCTGAGGCTGCACTGCTCTCTTTAGGCTCCCAGTCTCCTTCCTCAGCACAGAAGCTCGATGTGGCCACTCTTGCATGTCCTAGGTGGGTGCAGTCACACAGAACTTCTGGATGAGCAAACCTGACCCGCTCCTCCAGACGGGTTTGCTCCCAGAAAGCACAACTCCAGAGCCGAGGTGCCCTCAGGCGCTTCACCCGAGGCCAGGCCACCAGCACTCCCACAGCTCCCACTTCACAGGAGGAACCAGCAGGAACCTCTGTGAGCACAATTCCCATCCCATCTCCACAGCCCTGTCCAGCAGGAAGGGGAGCCCCTGCCCCTCATCCCCTTCTCCCACCAAGCTTTCAGAGCCAGGCTTGAGGCCGTGAAGCCACTGACCCCAGGAGGGTGCTCTCCCAGCCCCTCACCTGTGGTGATGCCATCGAATAGGGAGAGCACCCGAATAGGTCTCCTCTTTGCCGGCGGGACCGCTGGGTAGATTTTGGGCGCAGCCTGCAACGGAAGGACAGGGATGAGTGCCTGGCTGTGGCAGCGCTGCGATGCTCTACGAGGCCACACCTTGGCTCTACAGGCATCACCCCCCCCTCCAGAGGAGCACTGTGAGCCTCTGTCCCTGGATGGGCTTAAGACATGTAGATGTGGCTTCAGGGACATGGTTTAACGTGACTGGGCCGTGCTGGGTTAATGGCTGGACTCGATCTTAAAGGTCTTTCCCAACCTAAACGATTCCATCTGCGGGGCCAAGAGCCCAGCACCCCTGGGGAGGGGGGGGAGTGAGGGAACACCCCAAGGAAGAGGGCTGAGCAGCTCTGGGTGGCTGGCCCTGCCCTCGGCAGCTCTGCCCGCAGCCCGGCGCTGGGCTCTCCTGCCCGCAGCCCTTACGTATTCCTGCCCCTTGTCGCTGGTGAAGAAGTCCTGCAGGCGGGTGTTCCAGTCCTGCCGGCGCTGCAGCACCCCGTAGCTCCTCTGGGGCTGGCACATGTAGCAGTTCCAGGGCTCCTGCTCTTTGGCCTTGGCCGACGTCCCTCGCCCCACCAGCACCTCCAGACACTCCACACAGAAGCACCTGCCCAAACCACAACAGCTCATGCCTGTCACCTCCAGAAACCTCTCTGGGCCAGCCCAGCATCTCCTGGAGTCTCCCCGGCCGTGCACAGGAGCCCCCACTTTGTGTTTTGCAGGATGTGTTTCCAGGCAGAAGCCCAGTTTTTAGGGCTGCTAACACAAGCTGGCGACCCAGGCGTGGGTGAGGCTCCTGCCATCCTCCCCAGGGCTGACTGAGGTGAAGCCCAACTCGTCCCTGGGCCAGGACGTGGGGACCAGCACAGCACCCTGGCCCAGGCCCACGCACGACCCCGCTTCCCTGCGGCCCCCCAGGAGCGATGTGGGGGGCTTGGCCGGAGGAGCAGACAGGACCCACCTGCAGCAGCTGGCGTTGCTGCAGAGCAGCAGCTCCTTGCCTTCGCAGCAGACAGTGCAGTAGGACTGGTACCCGTCTTCATCGTACATGTAGAAGAACTCCAGGAATCTATCCTAGCGGAAGGACACCGGGAGGAGAAGGACAGAGGATCAGGAGCCGTGCTCAGAGGGTGAAGAGAGAACGTGGCTTGGCTCCACCCCTGGTGCACGCTGACGCACATCCCCGGTGCTTCCAGGGCAGAGAAGAGGCCGGGGGACAGGGCACGGCCAGGGTCTGGCACAGCCACCCCCCCTGTCCCTCCGGCCCC